TCCCAGCGCGCTCACACTTGAAGGAAGTTGCACGCCAAAAGCAAAACCTCCGGCGAGCTGCATTTCTTTGCACTTTTTTTTCATGATTTTTAAGGAAAGCAGGGGGCGGCAGGCCTAAAAGCAAGTTGCAGGCGAAACAGCAAGTTGCTTGCAAAGTACGCCCTCACCCCCAAACTCCTGACCTCTCCTGCCACCCCCTCCAGGACCGGCTTCCAAGCGTCCCCTGGAGGCCCCTCCCCGAGTCTTCACTTCGGCTGCACCCGACTCCACGCGTCGCCCACCCGCTCGTGTGACGGGACCCCGGCCCCTCCAAAGGGGACGAAACGCACACAGCTTTAACGTGTCAGCGTTCAACTCCCTCCAGCTGTTCCCGTTACGCGGCTCCCCTTCAGTCCGAGGGAAGCGCGCGGCCGATCCCCCACGACAGGGGCGGAGGCGAGGGCTGTCCGCGCGGGAGGTCCCCGCCCCAGCCCCCTGCCCAACTCGCCGCGTCCGGAGGGCTTGGGCGACGCCGGGACCGAGCCTCCTACCTTGTGCAGCACATACTATCATTTTTGGGACTCAGGGAAAGGTGATGCTGTGTTGCTTTAGGGCTTCGAGAGGTAACTTTTGCGCCCCCACAGGTGACAGCGCTTGCCAGCTCCTGACGGGGGCGGAGGCTGCCGCAGCTCCACCTCGTCCCGGTCCCGGCCCCGGCGCTCGGCCGCAGCCACTCTCCCCTCAGGCCGCGTTCTGACTGCCGGCAGCCGCCTCTGCTCTGACATCTTCCAGAGGATTGGGGAGACGCGTGCCGGAAGCCGCCGCCGCCATCTTGGTAAAGGGCGCTGACGCCAGACCGGCCGCGCGGCCACCATCTTGGCCAAGGTTCCCGACGCGGGAACCCCTCCTCCTCGGGTCTCAGGGGGTCGCCGCCCCGCTCGTGGTCGGGTATGGAAGGAGAGAGCTGGGCTTTTAGCGGGCTGCCCGTGCGGAGACGATCTGCGCCGGCCCCCGCCAGGCGATTCTAAGGCCGCCATCTTGGAAAAGGAAGAGACGCTCGCTGCCAACGAAAAGAAGAGGGAGCCAAAACCTTGCCGACGTCCAACCCTCCGCCGGTAGAATGTGTACGAAGGGTGCTGAGCTCCCCGGGTGCTAACAAACCCCCGTCTGAGTCCGGAAGAGGGGGCTTCTGCTTTCCTTTCGTCGGTGCGAGTGCGCTGGAGGAAGGCCCTGCGCGGGCCGTAGCGGACGAGGAGTGAGAATTCACCCCGAGAGCGCTGCTTGGCCTGCTTTCCAGTTTTTCCACCTTCCAAGGCTCAAACGCTAGAATCAGAGGTCTTCTGTGGTTCCAGAACCACCAACGGTATCGGGGAGGAAAATCAAGACCCAAACTTACAATAATGTTATTCGTGTTTTAAAAGGCAGTTAGTTAAATAACTCGTGCTAGTATGATTATCCCTCTTAATATGCGTAACTGTTATGCTAGGGATTATTTACATATGAATACTTCATATATAAATATGACAACTTATGTATAAGTACTTCATATATATATTACACACACACATATATAAAGGGACCATAAGTTACCTAACTTCTCCCCGAACCGTCAACCAACTCCTAACAGAATCTCTGCTCTGAGAATACGCCTCATTTCTCTTGTTCTGGGTGGTAGATGCTCTGCCTTTTAAATAACATCCCCTGGGCGCTGGCCGGAGGCTCAGCCGGGAGAGCTGGGCTGCCCTGGGGCAGGTCCCTGGGCTGCAGGTTCGGTCCCAGGTGGGGCAGGTTTGGGAGGCAACCGATTGGTGTTTCTCTCCCCCCCTCCCTCCCTCCCTCTTCCACTCTCTCTCAAAGTCAATGGAAAAAATATCCTCAGGTGAGGATTAACAAATAAATAATACCCAATTTCACAGAAATTTCCAATTAACTTTTTCCCCACTCACTTTATTTCTGTAGGTCCCGCAGACCATCTTGAAATGGAAGATTCACAGCGTTTTAAATTCAAACAACAGCTGAATAGATAGGTATTATTGTAATTTTTCATGAGAACTAGAGGAAAATGAGGCTTACAGAGGATGATGCTTATAGCAGTGGGAGATAGAATTAGACAGAGTTTTTTGCCCTAGCCGGTTTGGCTCAGTAGTCTGGAGGACTGAAGGGTCCCGGGTTCGATTCCTGCCAAGGGCATGTACCTTGGTAGCAGGCTTGATCCCCAGCCGTGCTTGGGGTGTGAGCAGAGGCAACCAGGCGATGTGACTCTCACATCAATGTTTCTTCCTCTTTCTCTCTCCCTTCCACTCTGAAAAGCAGTGGAAAAAAATATCCTCAGGTGAGGATAAAAAAAATAATAAAAGAAAAGAGGTTTTTCTTGGTTGATCTCACAATTCCCATGAAAGAGTATGTAAGTCCCACGATAGGCTTGCAGTGAGTGTGTATGGAATTTAAAGAAATGAAATCTGTACCAGAAAGGACGTGAGATTAAACATTGTAATAATAATAGCAATTCTAACAATTGTTAGTAAACTTACAATTTACTGAGCTTCTGTCTGCTGGGCGTTATTGAAAGTGTTTTATATGTACTATCTTAAGCCTTTAGCTATGGCAGTTACTAATCTGTAACCCTTGAAAGTTACAATTACTGCAGGAGAATAAATAGGATGGATCCCCATCTGAGGAGGAATATAATTGATTGCCTCAGAGGTAGACGTGGGAATGAAGGTGAGGTATCGAAACTCCATTAAGACAAGGACCTGATCTGTCTTATGCATTGCTGTATGTCCCACTCCCAGAATAGAGCAAAGTACATAGTAGGTGCTCAGCAAATACTTTACAAAGTTATAATAAAACACTGAGTGAACAAGACATATATCACTTTTACTAGGTTGTTGTGGAGGCCAAATGAGTTAATGAAAAGTGTCCAAGTGTTACTCAAGATCCTCATTTTTATTACCTCTTGTTTAAACACCTGAGTGCTCCCATTCTTCAGAAACAAAAACAAAAAAGCAACTAAGACCCATTAGTATGTGTTTTCATAGTCTCCTGTACTTTGCTAGCACATTACAATGGTAGTTCGTTATTACCTGTGGACTCATTTGTTAAATTTCTGTCTCCCCCACTAGAACATAAGCTCTGTGAAGGCAGGGCCTGTGTTTCTTTTTTACCACTATATTACTGTTGCATAGTAGGTGCTCAGTGGATGTTTGTTGAATGACTAAATGACTTAATGAATGAATGGAGGGATGGAAAGGGTCTGAGACTATATCCTAAGGCCAATAAAACCTTAAATCTAAATAGTAACCAAACCACCTTTTACATTTACACAGCAATTGATACGTTAGCCAAGTGAATTCCCCCATTTTGTTCACAGGTTTTATTATTCCCATTCCCATTAAAATAATGCAAGCCTCACTGCCAGATTACCCCTCTAAAACATCATGAAACCATGTCATGCTCCTGCTCAAGTAACTAATCATGGTGCATGTATGCAATAAGAAGTCAAAGTTGCCAATAAGTTATTACTCTTAATGTCCTGGGAAATGCTGAAGCTATGCTAAATGGGGGAGGGGGAAGCGGTTACTGTAATTTTGCAGTTAAGATTGAGTTTGACATCATACCTAAAATGTAAGTAGCAGACTTTAAATTCTAACTCTGTGACCCTGAACAAATCACTTAACTTCTATGTGCTTGGATGGTTAGAAGCACGTGAGATGGTGTTTGGGTTTGATATCTAGTGATCCAATAAATGATATTTCCATATATGGAATAAAAATTAGGCATTGAAAAGATTAGGAAAATGCACCAAATGTTAGGTCTGCAGATTACAGAATTATACTTCAATATACTTTAAAATTTTTGTTAAAAAAAAGTAACCACAGTAACTTCCTATTCCAGTGTATCCAGACCCCCAACTTCCATTCTGATGTTTAAGACCATCTTTTACCTGCTTCTTTCTAGGCCAGGCAGAGTCTTCTAGCTGATGCAATTGGACTGGTATTTGATTAAATTAAAAAGTCCATTAAAGCAGGGGAATCATAAAGAAAAAAAAATTATACTTGCACATTTTAAACTTTAAAACCTAAAACCTGGAATTGAACATTTGTTTCCTAATCCTCTGATGAAGGCCTAAACCTTTTGTGAGCCCCCTGCCTGGAGTTTGACGTCTTTGTTCATGTGTAAACTAAGTACACATTGCGGTTAAGAGCCAGATTGCCTGGGTTGCCTCCACCTCTGTGAGGAATGTAACTCAGTTTCCATCATCCATGAAAGGAGGGTGCTAATCGTGCTAACTCCAGTTATTCTAAAGATTAAACACGTTCAGTATATGTGAAGTGCTTAGCCTCATTCCTAGAACATATC